AAGGGTTTTTTACTCTCAACAGCAATTCACGACAAACGAGCGCTCAGAAAAAAAAAAAATCACACAAGCAGCTCAAATAGTGGTAAAAATTTGAATAACTTTTGGTAGGTGCCAACTAAAAATATATTATTTAATAAATAAAATCTAATAAATACAAGCAATCTTCAAAATTCTAGCTTAGTGGAAAGACGATGATGAGATACCTTGTAACTACTTTAAATAAAAAATTGTAATAGAATTGTAGCTGACAAAAACCATTAAAGAAAACTTCATACCTCGTTGCTTATGAGGAAGTTATAGAGGGTCCAAATATCTTGGAAACTACTGGTTGGGGTCAAAATTCTGAAAAAGAAAAGTTTGGGGATTTTTTTTTAAGCAAGTATAAAAAGATTCTATGGAAGAGTTAAAAAATACAGTCAGAAGTGCTTCATGGAAAAAAAAAATCTAATTTCTTTCTTTAAACAAAAAGTCTGATCTTTGAAGAATTTTCCCTTCCACCCATCCCTTTTGACTCCTTTAAAAGAATTAAATGAGCTTATTATTGCTGTACGGACTTTCTATGAAGGTTTTCCCTAATTAAAAATTCAACTGATGTTTTTATGAGCAATCTCTCTATATAGACGAGAAGAAACCCAGCCATAATTAAAAGCCTTTTGTTTCACATAAGCAATGCCTGCTGTATTAATGCAGAGCAACAGAAGAGCAACACGCAATACAAAACTTTCCCACACTAGCTAACGCTTTAACTCATTCCCTCCAGCATCCAAACGTACAGCTCAAACGCTACAATTTACACCCCTTTTTTGTTACTCCTAATAAGGACCGATTCCCACCCAATATTAAGATGTGAAAACGGAGTTTGACGGCTGAAGAGAGATGTTTTTATGAAAAACCATGCGAACTAGTGATTTATTTAGCCACGAATGCACACAACAGGCAGCAATACTTGGGTCTTTCCCAAAATCTAGTCCTTGTTCACCACGTTCCGAGCGGAGATTCCACCCGCAGATGGAAGCGTCAGCTTTGAGCGCTCCGTAAGGTGGTGTGAAGTTCTGAGAGACGTACACCCTTTTCCGCAAGGCTCCAAAAAACATCCAATAAAGGACTCTCTCAAAAATTAATTATCCTAATCAACGTAAGCAGATATAATTCAGTTATACCTCAGTGTAACTTAACTTGCATTCACTAGGAAAAAATTGAACCCTCAAACGTTAAAAAAAAACCCTACATTAAAAACCAGAGAATGCTTTGCATGTTAAGAAATACTGGTAAAATTCTGCCTTATTTTAGTTTTAAGTATGTAAATAATGATTCAGATAATGACTGGATTTGGGAAAAAAAAAAATAATTGAAAAAAATCTTCTTTTTGGGAAGCTGTTTACTTTCCCATGGGAAAATGCCCAAATTCTCCTCTCCCTCCCCTTGCAAGCTGTAAGCTTTTATAAATGAATTAATTAGGAACGGGAAAAAAAAAAAAAACAACCAACAGAAAACTACCAGAATAAGTTAAAAACCCAAGTTAAAAGAGACAGTGTATTTTAAACAGGCTGGAAGACCGTGAGACACCACAGGTTTTATCCTGACTAGTCAGTCCACTGCTTATTTTCATCATGATTTTACATAGGAATTATCACAGTTACAAAAATTAGTCACACATTCTTTTCCCCTTTGTAAGAAGATGCACCCAGAATTTTTTTTCTTAAATTGAACCACTTAACCTGCCAACCAAAAGTCAGCCAGAGGACCAATTGGCTGAGTTTCCTAAAAATACCTCGAAGCCTTCAACTGCTACCTCAGCAAGAAAGCCATCAGCTCTGACAGCGTAAAACCCCGGCAGAGACAATCTGGCAAACATCCTTGGAAACGCTGGGAATCTTGGCAGCTCGGGCGGCCTGGCAG